AATAAATGTGCAAATGCATGGGCCATTATCAACTTGACCTACTTTTGGAAAAGACTGTCCACTATCTCACAGCATCATTGCGGACACGTGAAGTACATAACATTGTTTTTATTCAGTTGGGCTGAACTGAATACAAGCTGCAATTATTAACATTGTGTTACTAAGCAGATAAATCCTTGATAAAAAGTGTATGTTTAGTCGAGGGCAAACATTAAGTTTTTCCGATTCTAATTAAAGTAAATAAGTTGAAAATAAAGAACTGTATTGGTATTGAATTATATTTATCTTCTACTTTTTGAACAATATTCTTTTTCTTTAATTAAGGATTTCCAACTGAATGTGTGCAGTCGATTTTGTAGTTATACAGTGATGAAGATATGCAATTGGACGTGAACTTCGTTAGGGCAACATAACCAAGCCAACATTGTGCATCAGAGGATCTTGTTAGCCTCAGAGTTTTTTCATCTTGGTTGGTGCTCCTTCTCATCCACTTTGTCCAAGAGAAACAAGAGGAAGCAGTGCCAGCTGCAGTTAGCTCTGCCACGATCACAAGCAGGCAGTCCTCTACAAAGCACAAGGGCCAGATTATGTTTCCATGTGAGTCATAGGGAGCCATGTGGCCCCTCAAATCAGCATATTCATTACTGTGCTGAGAGTAGGAAGAAAAGTAGCCGAAATGTGTAATATCACTCGATCCAAATCAAGGGTGTGTTAGTAAGCTTCGTTATTTGTCAATCCAAACACTTAAATTTCCACCACTCTGAACCACCTCTCATCTCACTCCCAGTGTTATTTTGTACTTCCTGCCCTTCTTTATATTGGTCCTTTTGTTAATTGTCAATTTTACTCTTAAAGGAGCAGCCAACAAAATGAAGAACCACTTGCTTACCGGGCTCTTATTTGAAGAGAGAACCAAAGGTACAAACTGCATTGGGTGAAGTGTTCTATTATGTGACTGTGCGACTGAAGAATTTAACAACGGCTTGCTGAATGCTGCACTTGCTACATAAAGAGGGAATCGCTAACAACAGAGGAATAACTCATCAATACTGAACCCTTTGAGCAATGAACCTTTCTGTCACTATTACAGAACACTAGTTGGTCAAATATCACATCTGTAAAAATACTATAAAACATTGATTATCCCTGAAACAGGCTGAAAATTTATATATTTTTGGTTTCACCTTAGGACAATAGGAGCACCTCAGTGAGGGTTTATTTCCAATAACAGCTGTGAGTATTGAACATCCAAACCTGAGTAACAAAACTATTTGTTCATAATGGAATAGACTTTCACCTACAAAATACACAGTCACTACATTTTACAATAAATCCTGTGAAGCATTTTGAGACATCCACCCGATGTGAAAGACACTATATCAAATTCAAGGATCATTATAATTATGGAAGATTTATTATAAATAATAGGCAAATTCGACAAGTTGTTACAAAATTGTGATCCAATTATGATATTCAGAAGACTTTATAAAATTGCTTGATTTTCATCATTGCAACTCATAATCTCTTGAATAATGGTATCATAAACACAGTCCAAATCAGCTATTATTAGTTTATATGTGTATATATATATACACACACATAAATCAGGGAAATTGTCATGCTTACTGTAGTAGTTGAACTACTATGCAAGGCTTTGCAGTCTATAATTTGGTACACACAGTGTTTTTCTGTCCAATCTTTAAAGTACTTAGAGTATTATTTTCTACTCGAAGTACGGAGAGCCCTCTTTATGCAATAGGATAAGGATCGAAGCATGTTGTTTATTTGAATAACACAAGTTTATGGGTCATTCACTGTTCAGAAAAGTGAAACAAGAGAAGATACCACAAGGATTCTTCATGACAGATAATGAAACTGTGTTGTTATACCAATGTATCTTTTTACATTCAATGTTACTGGAGGAATGTACAATGGAAAATCTGCCCTGTATCAGAGCGTAACTAAGGCTGTTTTAGAGGCAATGACTTAGAGGGGTATAGCATGCCATGTAATGCAAGCATCTATTACTCTCTGGAAGGCACAGATAGTGCAAAACAGACATTACCCTAAAGGAAATGAAAACCGTGTTATGGATTTAAATCTTCTTTGGATTGGTGTAATAGGTGCAACATCCACAACTTACATTGCCCCCTCCAGTTTGTTTTCCAAAATATCTCGCGATTGGGTGGGTTGAGTGTCTTGATGCATTTTCATCCTAGAGTCCCTCTAACTTGCTTGCTCCCTCCCTTCATTCAAGACACATCTCACACCTCTTTGACCTTGCTATCGGCCAATTTTCTCCAGGGACTCCAGAACTGTATGCACGATTACAAATATAGTCTCGTCAACGTAACAGCTCATGTACAAGGGCTTAAAAGACACTTAATTACAGATTTGGCATCAGATTCACAGTCTCCAGGTACGTTCAGTAAATACAGTTCAACAAATTCCTTCTTTTCCAACTGTCTTAATGGAAAATAACATTTAACATGTATGTAAGTTTCCTCTTCCAAATTATTAGATTCATCCACATTAAAGCCATCTGCCATTTGGATTAATTTTGTCCTCCCCTCAGCTGTGAAGATCCATTTACTGATCATCATGTTATGTATTTACCTCATGGCGGATACCCAGAACTATATGATCCTTTATTGTTCCCTTTGCCAGTTCCCTTGAACCATTTTCCCTCCATCAAAAATAGCATCCCTCCACCGAAAGTCAGCAATAGAATATTTCTTGCAGCTTGGTGGAATGCTCCGAGATGCTGCCCCGTGTGAATGGCACTATATAAATGCAACTTGTGTTGTTGTAATTTGAAACTAATCCCAATGATTACAGTATATTCCCTTGATCTCATGCTAAATACAAGGAGCCAATCTGCATTAGGTAGTATTTGAATCATAACTGTGCAATAATTCTAGATTCTGATTTGTGCATCAGCCCAGCTCATGTTGTAGCACTCTCGCTTCGTGAGTCAGAAGGTTTTGGGTTCAGGCCCCGTGTCGGCACTTTGAACTCTTATAGCCGAGGCTGGCACTCCAGTGTAGTGCTGGAGATGCGCTGCACTGTCGGAGGTGCCATCCTTTGGATGAGATGTTAAACCAAGCACATATCTGCCTGCTTAGATGGACTTTAAAGATCCCACAACATTACTCAAGAAAGAGAAGGGTGTTCCTCCCTGGCCAATAATCCTCCAAGTTATTCACTTCATGGCTGTTGTTGTGTGGAAATTGGCTGTCAATTTGTCAACAAAGTACACAGTCACTATACGTTACAGTAAATCCTATAAAACGCTTTGAGAGGTCAATGTGAAAGGCACGATATCAAATGACAGACTTTTATTTTACCCCCTGGCTCCGGGCCACCTTTTTGAAGCTCCAACAAAAGTCATTTTTATCTTGTATTTTCCAGGCATGATTGAACACTTGACGCACTTTAGCAGCATGGAATGGAAGACAGTTTGGTCAGTTGAAGAATGCTACCTGGGATCTTGTCAATCAGTTAGCCAACCTCTTCTCCACCACCCTGAAACACTTCAAATGCTTCATCTGTCACTGCTTAATGTAATGAACACTGTCCTCGGCAGTGTTAAAATTCAACTCCTTCGTGTGTCCAAAAAGGACAAGTGCCTTGAAATTCATCTCAGATTTCATTCACCTCTACATCAGTATTAACCAGTCACCATGTGTATAGTGGGTAAGTATTGGAATTGGTCACAGTTAATTGTGATTAGATTTGTCCAAATCAAGTTAAGTATGTCATTTGAATAGGGCATATCAATACAAATCGACATGAAATTCCCAACAGAGATCCACTTAGACAACTAAAACACTGGCGGGTGTTTCATATTTAATCATTTGATACTTTTTGCACAGGACATCTCTGCAAGGTCGGAGGTTAAGAGTTTCTATTGATTTTCATGTCTGGATTTACTGTGAACACATAACCAGCAGCCAGACTCACGGCAATGTGTTTGATTGCTGGTCGGTGAATACCAGGTTTGTCATCAAAAAAATATATCTTGCTATCCTCTCATCCCCTTCTCGAACAAGGTGCAACTTTTACCTTGCACCCTTTTCACCTTCTCTGTGTTAATGAAAGCCTTTATCCACTGATCTCGTATTGTAGTGTTTCTAATAAATCATTTCACAGTTAATAGGAACTTAAAACTGAAGAGAAGAAAGTTTGAGCCCAAGAATCCAAAATGAAGGCTTAGATGTTTTACCCACAATTCAGTCATTCCCCTTTACAGTATATCCTATAAAGTGCTTTGGGACATCCCACTGATGGGAAAGGCACTACACCAAATCCAAGGATTATTATTATTAATAATAAATATTTGTACCCATTATATTGAAGTGAATATACCTTACTCAAGGAGACAAGATTGCAAGATCAGAAGATTAAGATAGATGAAGAAGGTCCTTCGGCCCAATTTATCACATCGTTCAACATGTTACGAAAGATGATGTGGGTAGCAGACTTTCATGTTTTAGAGCAATGTTTTTGTCTGATGGACTTAAAGAACTACATTGGGACTTTGAGCCCACAAAGAACTGAGGGTCTGCTGCATTGCCAGAGATGCCATTCTTCAAATAATAATAAAAATAATAATCCTTGCATTTGATATAGTGCTTTTCACGTCTTCTAGATGTCTCAAAGCGCTTCACAGAATATGCTGTAAAATGAATTGACTACATTTGTGGGCAAAACGTGGCAGTCAATTGCACACAGCAGTGTCCCACAAACAATCGTGGATTTAAAATGACCAATTTATTATTGTTTTGTTTTGAAGGGATTATTATTAGGCGTGTGGAGTAAGGAAACTTGCCCAAGACATTCCTAATTAAAAAGCAAGTTTATTCAAACATTTATTGGATATTGGAGGAAGAAAAGATTGCATTGATTACTTTTTGAAAGAAAAAGGAGTTTCTCCCGGTGTCTTGGCCAACAATCCTCCAGGTAAAATTCACTTGATGGCCGTTTGTGGGGCATTGTGGAGTCCTGTAGCTCAGTGGTTAGAGCACTCGCCTCGGACGCAAGAGACCTGGGTTCGATTCCCGGCAGGGCGAAATGTTGGGCAAGTTTCCTGACTCCACACATCTCTGTTTACCCAGCAGTGAGTAGGAACCTAGTTGTTAGTTGATTGGCGCATCGCTTTTTCGCGGGTAATAATTCCTTCAAAAAAATAATAATAATAAATTGGTCACTTCAATACATGACTGTGTGGGACACTGCTGTGTGCAATTGGCTGCCGTGTTTCGCCCACAAAATATACAGTCAATTCACTTCACAGTATATTCTGTGACGTGTTTTGAGATGTCTCGAAGACTGTATCAAATGCAAGGATTATTATTAGTAGTATTATTGCTGTATACACATTGGCTGCCGTGTTTGGCCAAATATACAGTAAATATACAATATTGTAAAAATATACTTTACAACAACTTGCATTTATCTAGCACCTTTCATGGGGTAGTGTCTCGGAGCACTTTACAATAATTCCTGTGAAGCACTTTGAGACATCTTGACTGTGTGATATCATGCTGCACCAAATGCAAGGATTTTTTTCATTAAGAATGATGAGTTAAAATTTGGCTCTTGCATTTTCAAAAACAAACTTTTGTAAAACTGCAATACACACATAAATGTTTTTTTTTCCTCTCGACTTTTGATTTTCTTTCACAATGACCGTCTTCTTAACATTTCATTGCGTGAAAAGCATCCCACTACTGAAACAATATGTGAGTGTAAATAACCTTGAATGGTTGAAAGACATTTTCAATTTCTGTAGTTCATAATACAGCTCTGTGTTGAGTCTTGCCTTTCAGTGCAGATTTTACATTATTGCACTGACAAGTAACCAAAAGCATATTGAAGGACAAAAGGCTTATTGTACTACAAAGGCAAGATTATGCATTTATTAAATCAAATCCAACATAATTACTAGTAGTAAAATAGAACTGTTTTCAGAAAATGAAATCACCTTGGACCTGCCTAGATCAAAGAGATTGGTGAGTTTCTTTAAAATGTGTCAGATTCCCTGAAAGGAATGACAAATTAAACTGACTGACATATTGTAAAAATACTGAGTCTAAAATTAAAACATCTGGAATCATTTTAAAAACACTTTTGCTTTATCAGATACTTAGCATTTTTGGTGTGTGGGTGTGTGTGTATGTTGGTGGATCAGTGGTTTGAAGTATCTGTCTGGACACAATAAGTGAACGGGTGGATTAATGTGCGACACGTGGAATGCTAGCTCTGGAGCAACAACTGTTCTTGGTAAACTTTCAAAGAATTAAAGATTTTAGTGCTCCCCTGATGCTGTGCTCTGTTTTTCTCTGCACAGTGTTAGTGCGTCACCTCCTAGATGCTAAAGAACAATCACAAGTAGTTAGATCATTGTATTGTTAGCTAGAATCAGGAAAGTGATGCAAGGATATACGTGTCACACGTAAGAAAACTATTTGATATTGCTTTGTCAATATTTTACAGAAGCAGAGTGGTGTGTGCTCTTATGCTCTTCTTACTTAAACCTCCCTCCAATCCCCAGCTCCCCCATAATATTGCTACATTTCAGCATGAAGTCCTTTCGGTAAGTCAAACAATTGCTATCATTTTAAAACTGACAGTGTAATAAAGACTGTGGTTGTTTAACCTACAGTTTGAGCCAAAGTACCAAATTGAACCACAAAGTTGCATTTGGTTTAATAATTATAATAATGAGAATAATCCTTGCACTTGATATCACACTTTATTGTGTCAAGATGTTTTGAAGTACTTCAGAGAAATAACTAAAATTTAGTGACTATATTTTGTGGGTGGCCACATTAGCCAATTTGTACACAGGAATGAACAATAAACAGCCATGAAATGAGTGACCAATTTTATCAAGGGGATTTTGGCCAGGTCACTGGGAGAAACTTCCTTCTCTGTTCAACTTGTATTGCTATGGGATCTTTAAAGTTCACCTGAACAGGCAGATGGGACCTCGGTTTAATGTCTCAACTGAAGGATGACACATTTCTGGCAATGCAGTGCTCCCCAAGCATTCCATTGAAATATCAGCCAAGACTATGACCTCTTAAAGTTCTGATGTGATGCAAATGTAGTTTTTAACATTAATAATAATAATAATTCTTGCATTTGATATAGTGCCTTTCATATCATGCGGATGTCTCAAAGCAGCTTTATATGATTTGCTGTAAAGTGTATAGGTGGGAACCTGGTTGGTGGTCAATTGGCGGATCGCTTTGCTGGGGATAATAAACCCTTCAAAAAAAAAGTAATAATAATTTGGTCATTCAATCCCTGACTGTTGCAGGACACTGCTGTGCACAGTTGGCTACCGCGTTTCAACCAGGAATAATTTTATTATTATTTATTATTATTGAGTAGTTGTCTGTAAGCAAACACGGCCGCCAATATTCTGACACACAGGAATGAAGTGAATGACCAATTTTATTTCCCAACATGTTGCAGTTTACCACTGTAGTTTGTACAGAGCAGTGCACACAGCCCTCTCTATACCAGTCCTCTCTGATATATTCTGACCACTGATATGCTGCACATGTCCATGATTGCAACTACTCATAAAAAAAACATTAAACATTTATATTATACTTCACCTGCTTTCAAAACCTTTTTAATGTATTTCTTCCTCAAGCAACTTCACAAAAGCACCTGTATTTATTTTGGGAGCACTGAATAATATGTGTGTTTATCAGGAGGTTTATAGTATACTTGGGACTACTTTGATATCAGGTGATGGCAAATATGTAAAATGGCCTGTGTTGCACTAAGTTCTGGAGAACCACATAGCTTTGCGTTCATTATTAGTTACTGATGCTAGTGCTTGTGAATGGAATACATTGGCACCAAGGAAGATGAGAGTTCAGAAGAAGGGGAACTGAAATTCCCATGACAAGGATTTAGTGATGAAATATTGATTGAGACGCATAAAAATGTTACCTCGGTTCACTATTCCATGTGTGTGGATGTCAAAAACCATCAACTGCTATTATGGAATAGCTAATCATTTCCTTAACACAGGTAATATTTTCGTCATTGGTCTCGTGCTGCCTTATGCCTGCAGACTCTGAGTAGTGAAGCTGCAATGTTGCCTGACTGGCTGGATTACATAGAGGTACTTGGAGTGATATGACATGGATACATAAATGCTGTGTGCAATTGGCTGCCGTGTTTCGCCCACAAACTATACAGTCAATTTAACTTACAGTACATTCTGTGAAGTGCTTTGAGAACATCTCAAAGATATAATAAAGCCCTATATCAAATGCAAGGATTATTATATAACTATCCGGCCTAACCAGTATGCACTGGTGCTTATTTTTCACACAAGCCCTAACCCAATAGGTTCCTCTCTCCTACGCTCCTCTTATTCCCTTCTCCCTCCTAATCCACCCCATCAATATGATATCTCCTCGCCACTCTTATAACAACAACAATAATAATAATTAATAATCATCCTTACATTTGATATAGATCCTTATCAGGTAATTGAAACATTCAAAACCGCTTTACAAGAATTGCTATAAAGTGTAGTGGTTCTGTGCATTGTAGGTGAATGCAGCAGCCAATTTGCGCAGTGCAGTAGCCCATAAACAGCCATGAAGTGAAGACCATTTTTATCTGGGGAATTGTTGGCCAGGCCACTGGGAGAAACAACAATTTAGATGTGGGAAATTTTCCTAACATTGATTGCCTTTCAGTGATGTTGGCTGGAATGATGTTAAGGTATCCTTGGCATTATCTGCTATTAGAGCTTTAGCCACAACCTGTTAAAAAGCACTCATTTACTGAATGCTTCAGCATATCCACTATCCGATTCCTTAATCAACACTGCTTTCTGATGTGAGGTTCATAGTTTTGCATGCAGCGTGGGCGGGAGTGACAGACTGAATGATTTTCTATGTGCGATTCTTGGCTGCTTTTAATTAGAAGTCTGGACTCAGGCCTGGAATCAGAGTGGAAATGTTGACGTATAAGGCCCTCAGCTCCTCTCTAGGGAGGACGTATATGTGTGTGTGGGGAGGGGGGTAATTCTGCTCTGGGTACTTAATGGAGTGAAGGAGGTGCCAAAGATAAGTGCAATTTTCCTCTGGTTGTGGGGTGTTTAGCAAATTTGTCCCAGTGCACTTGAAAGTTACTGCAATGCTATTTTACCTTAGAAATCACTGTCATGCTTGTATTATATGATTATTTCTCATTTAAAATTTCATTGCATTTATATTTTTAAGTAGACAGAAACAATTTAAATAGCTTTACCAAACAACACAGACTTTCACTTCGTTTACATCTAGTTATTCTACCATATTGAAGGCAAGGAGCAGAGTTACTACACAATGTAATCATGTTTATGCAGCGCCTTTCATTGGAAGAATGTCTTAAAATGCTTGACACTCCAGGCTAGGCACTTGAGCTAGTGATGGGAGACAAAGGGGATGGGATGGGATAAAATAACCTAAAGTGCAGTCAAAGAGGTATGTCTTCAAACAAATCTGCACAAGGTCAGGGAGAGAGCGAAGGAGTTGTAGGGACTCAGGGATGGAATTCTAGAGAACAGGGGCAGATAGGCTGGAAGCCTTATTGCCAATGGTGGGGTGGGGTGGGTGGGGGACACGAAGCAGGGCAGTGCTCGCTGAGCGAAGAGATAAGGTTGAAGGAGGTCATGAAGGAGGTCATTAAGGCACCGTATGGCAAGACCTGAAAGTGAGAACAAGTATCTTGAACGCAATCCGCTGGGAGTATCTTGAACTCGATCTGCTGGGAATAACACTGAATGATCATGGTCTGTACTACCTGGCCTCCACTTAGACCCTGATCAGCCTTGCCAATAATAAATGCGACGCTTAAATAAACATCAAGTCTATGATCTAGATTTTCATATCATGACTGTATCCAAGTGTCCACATTGCTAGTTACCGTCGTAGTTACAGTGGAGATTCAGGGCTACGTTAAGAATCGTGTGTGTGTGTGTGTATGTGTGTTGGCAGCAGTATGCACACTTCCAAAGAAAAGGTCAGGCTCCATTCGGTGTGAAGTGAAC